GGATATATCCTGAGTTCAGGATAGTACGCCCTGCCTGTCCTTTCAATTTTCCAGAATTGTCTGTAATGCCTCTCTTATGAAAACCAAAAAAGCAAGCAAGCAGTCCCCAGAAAGGCATTACTGCTCTCCCATAGCTATATTCTTCAAGTGTCCATCTTGCATATTAAACTAGAAAAGGTTCGCCACCCAGCCTAGGACATTAAAGTGTTGTTCGGGTACACTGAGATTCAGTATGTGGACACCTTCCTCTCCCCACCCCACTGCCCGATCCTGTCCCCACCCCCACCCTGCATTACAACACAGAGCAGCATGACATCAGGAAAACAGAAATAGACCAAGTCTACAGCGCAGTCCAGAATTAATTCAGCCAAACAATAGTGCCTCCCCACTAACCACTGGTCCGGTCCTTGAACTATTACCCCACAGCCTCATAGTGTTCTAGAAGGATCCTGGGCCTTGCAGTCAGGCCAATCTAGATTTCAGTTTAAATCATGTGGCCTTGTGAAACTGTTAAATCTTTCTAGGCCATAGTTCCTCCATCTTTAAATAGGAACCATAATACCCACTCACAGACAGGGTTGTTAGGAGAATAAATAACATCTAGGATAGAACAGCATGTCGCACATGTAGTAGGTGCAGAGTAAACGTACTTTCCCTTCTGCCTTCTCACACGCACCCACAAAAATCCCTTTATGCTAATACCAAATTAGAAATCTCTCACATCCAAGGCAGCTGTGACTTTGGCTCCATTTATCCGTTCCCAGCATAGTCTCCAAATACTAGTTATCATTCATTCAAATATATCCTGCGGTGTGTGGACACATACCAGAGGGGTTTTCAAGAAGGCTCTGTGGCTCCAGGATTTACTGTTAGGAATCAAATATCAGTGAAGACTGCCTTGCCACCTCCTTGCTCTAGCACTTTCTGTAAGCCCCACAAGGATGTTGCCAGGGATCTGAGGAACAGCGTTGGACTATCTCCTCCAACAGGCAATTCTGACTTCAGCCTGAGAGCAAGAGAGAAGGCTTAAGAGGCTATCAGTCGGCAAAAGGATGTTCTTTTAAAAGAAAGAAGAAAAAGGAGCGAGCCATAAGAAAAAGCTTCATCTCTTGAGCTAAATTCCTCTCTACTATTCAGCCCAACCAGGAAACACACCTGGCCACCTGGTGGATGAAGCATGCTGAATGCCTCAATCAGGTTCAATATTTCTATCCGGTAGCATTCTGGAATGAAATCTGCTCTGGCCTACACATTTTATTTGACACCTGAAAATGAATATAAATACACCGACTATATTGCATACACTTTAAAAAGTGTTAATTTATTTTCCCACCTGCGGCTAAAATGCAGAAAATCTATGGGCTGTAATTCAAGAAATGGTCACCAGAGAGCAGCACTAGACAAGCAGAAAACTACATAGGCGGAACAAAAACACCAGTTAATCCGGCTCTTTAAAAAGATTTCCAGTCTCTGGAGACCCTAAAAAGTGAAGCTACAGGGAGATTAAATAAGGTCGACAGGAGGTGAAAAATGCATCATATTTAAAATATGTATCACCATATATTGACTTGGAAGTTAAAATATGACAAGCTGCTTCATTTGCCAGTAATTAAATGTAGGCCTTATTCAGTACATTACTCAATGACATAAAAATTAGGATTCATTCTTTAACATGCAGATTAAAATTTCTCCATGATAAAAGAAATATGTCAGGACAAGAAAATTATGGGTATTCTTTTTAATTCAAAAGCATTCAAAGAACACAAAGGGGGAGTTTCTTAGAATTGAAATGATCCTCTTTTTTTCCCCCCAAAAAACAAAAAAAACAAAAATAAAACACAAATGCAGAAACAAAATTGTTACATGAGAGATAAAGAGGAGTCCACGGAAGCACGTTTAGAATAAAATGGCTTTTGTTGCAGAACACCAGTGATGACTAATCTGGCTTCTGTGAAGGAAGCAAATGTATGATTCATTTTTCCAGGCAATCTATTTAGCTGTTTGATATCACTTTAGCATTGTATGCTGACTCTTACTTTCCTTTAGGGAACAAGAAAGAAAAATCAAAATAGATCCTAATAAGACAGTGAGGGCTGGAAAGAAGACTCCCCCACTCCCATTACGAGTGCAAGGGAGAGGAGAGGGAGGAGCAGGAGTGGCCTAGTTTGGCTGTGCTCACTCTACAGGCCCAGCACAGGCTCTGATCTCATGCTGGGGAGGAAGCACTGCAGCAGGCTCTCACCCTGCTCAGGAAGCACACAAATGCTCCTTTTCCAAGGCCTGGAGGAGAGATAAGCAAACAGAGATCAAGCAAGTCGATGCATACAGCAAAAGAATAAATTCCTTTCCTTTGGGAAGAATAGTCTCACCATCAGGACAGAGCATACAGATGAGTATGCTTGAGTACACACTGCAAGGAGAAACATGCTATATCTCAGATTTCTGCAAACCACATAACGATGAAATAAAATATAACTATCCACGGAGAGAAAAAATATTTTCAATTATCTCAAGTCAGGTAGCAGATTAAGATAATAAGTATATTTGCAGTATTTCTGCAAACCACATAACGATGAAATAAAATATAACTATCCACGGAGAAAAAAAATATTTTCAATTATCTCAAGTCAGGTAGCAGATTAAGATAATAAGTATATTTGCAGTACCAAATCTAGTGAGCTTATTTATATAATACAGTACAGATCAAGGCAGCATTACACATGCCACATTAATATTAAAGCAAAGAAATGAGTTATCATTCTAAACTTATACTTACAAGTATAACTTGAAAGAAGAAAGTGGAGAAATTAACCTCAATTTACTTTAAATTGAGGGATTTGAGGTTGGAAAAAAAAAAATCAGGGATTATTGTACAAGAAACTTGAATGAACTCTAAATACTTTGGTTAGTGAGAACAGCCCAAGAATAAGAGACAAACTATGGATGTCACAATAACATTATCCAAAGCAAACAATGAATATAGTTTCATAATATCTGCTTATTTCTGCTTTGACAAGATTACACACAGGAAAATGTGCCTAATGAATGAAAGACTCAATGCCTGATTGGTTTGACACGGCCATTAGAATAAGATAAATGGCAATAAAAAGCATTTCAATGACGTAAGAGAGAAAAAATTTAGCTAATTTTTTAGCTAAGAAGAATAAAGCAATTGATACAATCAGAAGACGTATCACCTGGGATACAGGAAAGTAATCACCAAGTAGTAATAGTAATAATAAGTAATAAAAAAAAATAAAACACTGCAAAAATTACAGTCTAACAATCAGTCTACAAATGTAAGAATGAGCATTGTATTATAATAACAAACCCAGAAACGAGAAACAAAAGTCAT